TAACCCTAACCCTAACCCTAACCCTAACCCTAACCCTAACCCTAACCCTAACCCTAACCCTAACCCTAACCCTAACCCTAACCCTAACCCTAACCCTAACAGAGCATGTAGTACCACACCAGATTATTTATAGTAGTAGTAATTAAATAGATACCGCTCTTATTATCTCATATAGACTATTTAACTAAGTAATAAATAGTAAGTTACTACTCTTAGTATCTTATATAAACCTATAAAAATATAGAAAGAAGATATAAAGAAGATAGAGTACAACTATAATTAGAGATTAAACTAAATCTAAAGAATAGTAAAGCTAAATACTTATTACTATATTCTTAATTACTAGTAGCTTAACTTTAGTTATATACTTACTACTATCTTATATTCTATAATATTATAGTACTTTCTTAGGTAACTACTTTTATTCTTACTTACTATTTCTAGTATACTATAAATAATAGCTAAGAAGAACTATTTTATATAAGTATAAGAAGTATAACTATATATAGATACAAGATAAAGAGATACTTATATAAAAGTAGTATATAATATATAATAGCTTAGAGTCACTCTAGTAACTTAGAATTCTAACTCTAAATAGAGTTTCTATCTAATATATTTACTAGATTAAGGCTTTATCTTTTTACTTTCAAGAGTTTAAGTCTATCTAGAGTTTCTTTACTCTAGCTTTAATACTCTTTCTAAAAACTATATTAAGTTCTTAAACTTTATACTAATACTATATAATAATAGTAAGAGACATTTAAACTTTAATTATAGAGTATATTTCGCGATACTTTATTCTATAACTTTATAATATTTTATTCCTCTAATTCTAATAGTATATTCTCTATTCCTAATTGCAACTGCAATAATAGATACTAATATTACTTTTATATATAAAAGTAGATTTTAAAAGTATTAAGTAAAATCTAGAAAATTTTAGTTTCTATTATATTTCTAAAGCTTTAAGTATTCTATTTACTTATATTCTATCTAAAAGCTATTTCAATAGTTCTATATATACTATAATAACTTTTTATATATAAAAGTAGTTTTATAATAAGGTTACTATAAAGTAGAGATTCTAATTAAGGAGAAAGAAAGTAATACTAAGATATAGTTAATAAGATAAGAATTAATATTATATAGTAAGATTAGATTAGGTTATAAAGAATACAAGATTCTTATTTAAGTTAAGTATACTATTCTAAAGAGTGAGAATAGTACTATCTATATACGTATTAGCTTCTAATCCTGTTAGTAGTAGCTAGTAGTAATATACTAGAAGTATATAGAGTGTTACTTTAAAGAGCAAATCGAGGAACACTTAAGCATTACTATAACGAAAAGTATATATCAGACTGTGCTATCAGTATACAGGAAGAGAAATAGTATGCAGTAACCTCAGAGGTCTTTCTTCTGCTCCTCCTCCTCCCCCTTCTCTTGTGAATCTTCATTTGCCGCACTGGTGGCATCTTCGCCATCTGCACTATTACCGGCCCTATCCTCAGCTGCGCCATTGATTGCTCTGAAATCGTTGGGTCCGGATTGCATACCCATTTTGGCGGCCTCCTCCGCAAGCGGACCAAGCTCTGGCCTCATCGTGTTATACTTGGAACGCTCTCCGCACCGGTCCCTTCCAGTGGGTTGGGGTCCCGCTCTTGGTTTGAGCTTGTTGTCGTAGATGTCGTCTGCAATGTCCAGGCCAAGAGGAACTCCACCAATGGGATACTCTTTTGTTGGATCTGGGCTGTCCATGCGATGGCCCTTGGTCACGTACCTAATCTCCTTCGGATCTTGATATCTGGTCACATTGTCGCCAGTGGTGGCATACACATCGGGGACGCTTGTTGCTACAAGAGCGTCCTTAGCCGCAAAGGCATCGAAGCGCCAGTGAACACCGAGCCAGACACGGCTGATCGCGTTCTCAAATATCGCTTCCCAAAGACAGCTAAACTCGCGGGGAATCTTCGTGCGAACAATACCAGGCTGGTCCGTAATCGGACGCGCTGGGTCATACTGCTGAGTCAAGTCCCTGCTGACGCCGTTCAGCTCCTCGGAGGTGAACTTAAACTTGAGCTTATCGGGCTCATGTTTACCCCAGAGAGGAGGCTGCGTCGCGTCCCTCTCTGCGTAGTGTCGCCGCGCAATCTGGAACGCAGCAGCGCCGAACGTGGCGTGACCGGAAGGGTAGGCAGGGAATGGGGGCTTGAACGGAATGTTAGGCGTATTGGTAGCAGGCGCACCAAGGCTGAGCCAGAATGGATCGGCATGTTCGGGACGCGGGTCTTCGCGGACGCCGGAAAGCGGGCGCCAGTATTCGTAGCAGTACTTCTCACGCCAGGCGAAGATGCCAGCGTCGGCCATGGCGACGTTTGCCAAAGCAAAGAGGCGGGTAAAGTCGGCGTTGTTTGCTTCGTCCTTAAGATCAGCCTTGTTTGGCATTTCAATACAGGCGATCTTCCGCAGGATCTGATTGTACAGGCGAGGCGGCGTCCCGATGAGGTTGGGGCCATCGTACGCCCAGAATAACGCCTTCGCTGTCTGAGCTGGAGTCCGCTTCGTTGAATTCAGTGGAATAGCTCCGCCCATGCGGATAACTTCCTTCAAAGCGTCATCGTACTCGACGGTCTTGCTTGCAGCGGCTCCCATGCCCGGAGGGTCAGCGCAGTAATATTCATTATGTGTTGCAAGACGCTTTGCGGTAATGCCGTATATTGGAGCATGGTACGCATGTTCAGGCTTCTTAGGACCATTGGGGTCGTTAGGATCGATCGGGACGAGCGTTACTGGATGCGTTGGTTCGTCGTTGAAGCGATACGGGACGTGAGGCCTTTGGGGGCTATAATTTGCCGAGTCTGCGCCCGGCGTATGGTTGAGAAGCCACACCATCTTCTCAGCTACAGCAACACCGAAGAGGTAGCTCTCCGAAAGTGCATCCAAGGTTGGATAGTCCGCCTTCAGCTTGTCGAGCAGCTGCGTGAGCTCCAACGTGGCGTTACGGGAGACCTTCGGGCTGGGCTGAGTGTATAGCTTCTGCAGGACGGCGATGGCTGCGCCAGCCACTGCTTGTTCTGCATTGTCCGAGCTGTACTTCAACGGAAGGGTGTACTCTGTAGCGCCCGTGGTCAAATAAGTGTCGTAGCCGGCCGTAGTTCTGATGCCGAAGTAGGCATCGTGGATGGCAAGATGTAGAATGCCTAAGACCCTGGCACTGATTGGCGGTCCTTGTTGTGGGCCACCAACCGAGTGAGTGAGCCTGTTGAATTCCAGTCCGGCATGGTTCCAGTACAGGATGTAGTTGGAGTTGTACTCGGCTGGCTCATCAACAGGTGGAATGACGACCATTATGAGTGGTAACGAAAGTAAGAGACAAGTCAATCAAGAATGAGGTGTAAATTGGATTTGTGATGAGATGCTCTTCGGTCTAACGTGAGATCTGGTTCTGTCGTCTTTTTATACCCAATTTGCTGTTACACAGATCCACGCGGTCTCCGTTCGTGCCTCTAGCCAAGAACGTGGGATATCAGGCAAACATTGGCAGCTGTGGGCCACGAAAAGGCCAATACGAATAGAAAGACAAGGACGATAACCTATAGAAAGGGCAATATTCCGTTCTGAAGGTCTACTGGCGGCCTCTAACCCTCCACCACGGTGGAGAAGGAGGTGCATGCTTAGCACGGCACGGTTATCGTCAGCAACTATCATGACAGTTACGCGGGTCATCTTCTCTCGGGCGGTATGGGCTGAGTGCATGCAGCTGGAAGGGTCTGCGATCTAAGGTCTCACTGCTGGCCATAGCAGTGGTTCCGTCACTGGTTCGGTCATTGGTCCGATGCAAGCCGGGTCATAGTGCGCGTTGCATTTGCCTTATCCTTGGCGAATAAGTTAAGCTCTTGGACGTTGTTGAGTCTACGAGTAGATCCAGATATTGGCTGGAATCGGTAAGAGCCGAATTACCCGGCTGGGAAAATGTCACATGGCTGAGACCTCTTGTAACTAGCAGTGGTTCGAGCTGGACTAATACGAGGTGCCAAGCCTTGGCTGCTTCAAAATTCAGATATGGTATTATTTGAAGTAAAGTAAAGAAACGACTTCGGCAAATTCTTATTGCTTAGGGGGACCTACAGGAAGCTCATTAGTATAGCACATTGCAAAACGCCCTTCTCAAACCTTAGGTGCGGATCATTCGGGAAATGTACAATCGGTGTAATCCGATGCGCTTACTGCTTAGTCATTTACAGCTACATAGCAGTAGCAGACCTCGCCTGCCCCACCTTCACGCTCATTTCCTATTAGAACGTAACCACTGGAAGGAGAAAGGACGAGTATTGCGAGAAGCCGCCCGAACAAGCACTACTTTACTATGGTCAGCGTTCAATGAAGTTCAGCGGAACAACACTTATTCAGCCCCAACATTAGCACCAGTCTACCATAGTTAGTCTCTACTAAGCTTATTCTGCACCGGAGCAAGCCATAATTTTACAGTCTCTGGATATAAGATGAAGACCTCGGCACTGCGGTTTGATGTCCACCCTTACAGGCCTTGGCACATGGCCTATTACTGGTAGACTAGTTCTGTTGTAAGGCTTAGCTGAGCTTGGCTGAACTTGACCTTATAACGACGACGGAAGGCGCCTACACGACAAAGCCCAAACCACACCCCAATAAAACTTGATCAGCTTCTACGCAGCCATTACACCGCATCATATACGAGGCAACTTCTTTGCCTTCCGCGTTCCAATTGTAAAAGATTATGGATTTTCAGCTATGAACCTAACCAAGCCATATTACGCCTCCGCAACGGATCGAGCGATCAAAGAACACCTGCTAAGCTCGAGCTGAAGGGCTGAGGGAAGGCACATAATAAGCAGCAAGCTGTTAGCCTTATATGTTACGTAACAACCTGTAAGTCCTCGAGGCGGTATCTTGTCTGTCAGCTGAAGCACATGGAGGTTCTGGCTCGGTAGTCTCAATGTTGTCAGCTTCTGCGGCACGGCAATCTTGCGTTGTGATTCGCTCGAGGCGCGCCGGTCGATGATGGATAGCGGGGTTTTGGCTCAGTAGACTTGATCCCGTGATGCTGGGACTAAGGGCTCTGGTGGATGCTCCGGCGATCTTGGTCTGATAGAGCGAGCCAGCCTACGTCCTAATATGGGTTCTCGAGAGGTTGTGCCTTAGTGACAGGGTGTCTGATAAACCGGTCGTCGCCATCAAATCTCTCATGCCGGTTGGTCTGGCTAAGAGCTAAGGGCGCGACCGCCGACGGTTGGACGGCGACGGGAGGCGTCAGTGTTCGGCATCGCCCGACCGTCTCGCGGACGAGGGTCTAGTCGTCCGTCTCGCCCGACACGCCGTTTCAACGATTTAGACGATTATATGACCTACTAACCACATTTAGTAGCCGGCTAGCCGTTTATAGAAGAACATCACGAGTCTTAGTAGGTGTTAAACCTTATTTTCTTATATCCTATCTATCGCCGCTTGTTTAACTACTACGCTGTTAATACTAGACTCCTCTACCCCCTCCCTATAAGAGTCACCACCGCTATTATATACTCTTACTACTCCTATTATTCTTCCTCCGGCTCCTCCGCCGAGGCTACTACCGTAGCTCTAACACTATAATACTCCCACGATTGGATATATTAAGAAGCTTAAATAATATTAGAATTTAACCGGTTGCGCTAGTCTATAACTATTAAGCTAGTAAGACTAAAGATACGCTCTAGTTTAGAACTTATTACTAGTATAGAGAATAAGTCTAACGCTATACGCGTAAGCTTTAGATAATTATTTAAGCGCTAAACCTAATAGGTAATTAGATCCTTATACCCAATCTATTTAACCTCTATCTAAGTGTTATATTTATTATAGAATATGACACTAGCCTTACTAGCGCCTAGTCTCTTAGCTATATTAGCTTTAAACTTATTAAGCTCATTAGATAAACGCCGAATAACCGGCTTAGCGTGTTAGTAGGTATATTCTTTAAGCTAGAGTCTTTTTACTATAGCCTTCTCGTTCTTTAACTACTAATCTTAGCCCTTCTAATAGTTATTAATATACTGCTATTTAAATATAGGATAAAGAATAATAGCGGCAAGGTGAGCTAGGCTATTATTAAGGAGCTAATAGTACTAATTAGCTTTTTACTAGGCTAACTTAATACCTACGCGGAAGTAATTCTCTAGATAGTATTTATAGAGACTCTTAGCTTCTTTAAACTTCTTTAGTAGGTATTCGAACGCCGCGATAATTATCTAAAGATTTCCTAATTCTACACTAGATCTAGGCCGTCCCTTAAGCTTCTTAGTAATAATCTCTATTAGCTAAAGGATATTATAGTACTACGCCTATATCTACTAGTCCTCTACTAATAGCTAGTTAGTAAGTATTAAGGTATTTAGATCTTTTACTTAGCGATTTTATCTTAAGAGTCTACTATTATGCCGCAGTTTAGCTTTAATAAGCTTGTTAATAGTATTATAGAGCTTAAGACTACGCTTAATTATATTAAATATCAAGTTCAACTATATTCTATTATCTTGAATTAAATTAAGAATAGTATTTAATTCTAGATAGCCCTCTACTAGCGGTAGCTTTCTATTCACCTAAGTTTAAGCTTTATAGAATTACTTCTTACGCTACAGCGAGTAGTAGATTCAAATAATAAGATTATAAAGCTGTCTAATAGGCCTCTTACTTCTCTATAGAGCTAACTAAGTTACTAGCTCTATTATTAAAGCTGTCTCTACTTCAAAAACGTCTATATTCTTATTAAATAACATCTCCCTCGCGATAAGGTTAATAATATAGCCTATATAATTCAACTAGCGCTAGATGGAATCGAAATTAAACTAGTTAATAAGCTCCTTTATATAAGAGTTATTATTTAACGCGTTATCTACTATAAAATAGCCTATTTTACCTTCAATCCGGTACTTTGTAATAATATATACTACTATCTCTATAATATTAGCTCCCGTGTGGCTACCGTCTTACTCTAGTAATATAAGAAGATAGGTTTTCGTAGTATATTCAGCGCTAATATAGTGGACATTAAATCTATTAAGGCTAAGAAGGTTCCTTAAAGTCTAAAGGTTAAAAGATAGATGAATAGAGCTAGAGGCTATACGAAGCTCTTAAATTACACCTTCTTTTAGTATTTAGTAGTCCTCTATAATCTATTATTATACTAACTTAGTATAAGGAATTAAAGCTTCAACACGCGGTTAAAGATAGATAAGTAGCTAGTATAGTAGTGCAGGAGGTTTATTACATGGGAGCTAGTATAAAGTGCGTGTGCGGAGGTTTAAGATTCTTTATAGTTATTTAAATTAGATAAGTAAGACAACTAAGATAGTTAACTACAATTTATATTATAGTATTAAGCTTTATTACACTTATTCTATATATTATTTAGCCTTATATAACCTATTACTATAATTCTATCGTCGCCTTAATAGTTCTACCTTAATATCTCACCTCCGCGGACACGCACGATCTACTTACCTAAGTTCTATACTTAAACCTCTTACCTACAATACTAGTTAAACCGCTCCCTCTTAATATTATATAGAGCTATATTATTGTAAATAAACTACCGTACTAGGAGCCGCTAGAAGGTATTATAGTTAAAGATAATAGCTAGTTTATTAATTACCGCTTAGTCGCAAGGGTTATTAGCATTAAAGCCTAGCTAGTTAATAAGAGTAATATTAAGCCAGCTTCTCTTACTTCTAGACTTAAGCCGGCTAGTCTTACTAATATAATAGTGCTCTAGTAGGTATCAAATTACACTATTTCTATCTTAATTAGCTTAGTAGATATATTATAATAGTAGCGGGTAGCTACTACTATCTTTAACACCTTATAGATAACACTTCTTATATAGCTAGTACCGCTTACGCGATTTAACGTTCTTAATTACGCTACTATACTTCTACTACTAGCCGCTTAGCTTATAATTAGACTACAAGAGAGGGTAGAAGTAGCTAGCTAAATACCTTTAGCTAAAGTCTATCTATAGCTACTTAATAATAGCGGCGCTCTATTATAGGTCACTAGCTTATACGTCTAAGCTAAAAGCTAATACTCGTTAAAGCTCTATTAGTGCGGAGGGGTTAGATATAGTAGTAGTAAGTTCGGTAGAGATAATCTTAGTTAATTAAGTCTCTTAGCTAGTAGGAGGTTGGACCTCTTACGAATCTAGACTTAGATATAGCGTCTATTAGCTAGTTTCGAAGCTAGATATTGTTATTAGGTGAGATTAGTAAGTAAGGGAGTAAATAAGCTTTAATTGAGGTATCTAGCAGCTAATATTATATAGTATTACAGTTTGAAAC